CACGGAAAGGACGCAGGCGTGAGCTACCCGGCGGGACGGAGGTGCAGAGCGTGTGCTGAGCTGCCGGGCTGGAGGACAGCACAGGCCTTTAGGTCGGGGCAGCGCCTCGTGAGGGGATCACGGGGACCTCCCAGAGCTCTCCCAGCGCCTGTGGGTGTCAGGAGAGCGCCAGGGCACGGCACAGCAGCAGAGCTTTAGAAACACGTAATGCATACAAATACAGAAGGTAACACTATTTTAAATAGAACTTTTTTTGTTCTTGAAGTAACAGGAGAAGAATATGGTTTATCTGATCTCCTGAGGACTGCAGAAGCAGTTTGCTCACCAGTTTTGTGCAATATCTTGTATTTTTAATTGAGTAATTGTTCTACTTGGTTTGGCCCAAATTGGCATAGATGAAATTGCCACAGATGGCACTGTAAAAGTGCTGCACCCTGCAAGACTTCTAAAGAGCAGTGTTAAATAGCAGAAATCATCTTTGTTGAACAATCTCTTAATGTGAAATTAAATGTTCTCTATACTTTCAGGGAGCTGAAATCTATTCCAATAAAATTCAGCAGTTAGGTAATTCAAGTAATGAACTAACAAAGACAGAATCTGTCAGGATGCCAAGAGGCATCCAGCCAGAAATGCCCAGCATTTGCAAAAACCTGTATGTGTGTGAACCATCATTTACTTTTAGCAAATCCAAAATCTACAATCTGAGCGATACCTGGAGTAATTACAGAACTACGACATTCCATATTTGTTCTCCTGTGAATCTGATCTGAAAGTTATGTCCGTGTACAGAAACGATCTGCTGGGAGGAAGTATAGTAAAATTGAAATGTGTTGGAAATAAATCTGTGGGATGTGTTTCTAATACATCTTGAACTTGGCTTGAAGTACCGGTAAGCCTTCCTGAGCCTCTCTTGGTGTTCTAACATTGGCTGAGATGTGAGGTGTAGCAAATTTCATAGCCAAAGTTTATCACATCATACAAGTTTTTCAGAATACAGAAGCTTTAGAATGTACGGTGATTAAAATGTTAGAGCAGAAGTATGTTTTGATCAGCTTTAGTGGCTTGAGTTACGGTTGGAGGTGATGTGACCTCAGTTGTTTTCTTGCTCTCTCGTGATCTCACCTTAAGGGCCCTTGGTGTGTGGTTTAAGTGTGGTCATGGGAGGGGATGAGGATTCCAAGTGCAGGATGTTTTATGGAAGGGAGCAAGCTGGGTCACTTGTGGTGGCACAGAGGTCCACCTTCACCAACAGCTTGTGTGGCAGAAGCCGTGATTTTTAGGAAGGTTCTGCTGTGCTTTACATGAAATGGCAGCCACTGTGGGCTCTGAGGCTCCAGAAGGTGCAGAAGTGATGAGAGACTTGCAGGCTGCCAGCTCTGAGAGGAGCCCTCACCATGCCGAGCACAGTTAGCGTGTGCCATGAAAACAGCCAGGCTGTGTGTTTAAACTCCCTGCTGGGAGCGTCTGTCGTGCATGGAGCTGTCACACCCAGGGGAAAGGGGAGCCCTGGGGCCACAGGCATAAAGCTGGGAGGGAGGGGACACTGGAATAACTCTTGATGGGGGCTCTACTAATCTGGCTGGTCAGTTTATGCCCTGCAGGGAAAAGAAACTGCTGTGCAGATTGTATTCAAGTGCTGTGTCTGAGAAAAGGTAGTGAAGGGCTGTGAGATGAGACAGTGCTGTGCCACTGTCAGCTGTCACGGCGTGAGCAAAGGGGGTTCACCAGTTCTTCGAAGAGCACCACAGCAAACCACTGTGGTTTTGGCACAGCTCTTGGCTGACAAGAAGAAAGGGAAGCAACTTAATGCCTTCTGTGTCCTGAATGTTTATGCTCATTTAAAGAAGTGGTTTTACAGTAATTTAATACTGACACACCAGAGAGAATGGGTGGGAAAGAGGAGGAGGATGAAGGGTGGTTGCTTACAGAGCAGTGTGTATCTGAGCTCTCACCTACCCAGGGCATGGTAGGACTGCTGCATAATCCTCCAGGGAATCACTCCTGGAACAAGGTCTTGTCTAGCACGGAGGGAGAAGGATGGTGTTTGTGTGATGATGACTGTGCATCTCCCTGAGGTGATTTTAGTGTGGTAAAGTGCAAACCCACAGCCAGAGGGGCTGTGGGAGCCTGTGCAGACTGCTGTGAATTATGGATGCCATGGCTGCTGCTGCAGACACAAACAGCAAACCAGAGCTCCTGGGTGCCCCCAGCCTCAGAACTGCAGGGATAGCCTGGTTTCAGGAGCCACCAGTTCCTCAGAGCCTGGACTCCGAGTGTCTTTAGAAGTTACAAGTGCTGGTCATTTCTGTGGTTAGGACAGTGAGGAGGCCACTAATTAGTATAACTGGCAAGTTCTAAATTCTGTTCAAGTCAGCATTCATTTGATCTCAGTGAGAACAGCTTAATGTACAGACAGAAGAAGTTGCATGTTTTCAACCTCTTTCTCAAAATGACATTGTTCATTAAACCCAGGGTAAGTGAACTGTGCAGCTCAGCCCCTGTCCATGTGCCTGCTTTGTGCTGGGTGCAGGAATCCTGTGGCCACCTCAAGACCTGCAGTATTGGCAGTATAGGAGTTTGTGTGGAACTGCTTTGCAGGGTAACATAATTGGATTTACTGAGCTGTAGTTTGTCATCTTGCCCTGGTTTAGCCTTTCCTCTTCTACTGTAATCCAAAGTTACCCAGATTTAAAAAAAACACAACCCTTTGAATAAATCATAACCAGCAGAGAGCTGAGCCTGCCTTTGCTGTGAGCAGGAAATGCCACCTTTGGTGTGTGCCACCAAGAGGATGAGGAAAGTGTTATTTGTGCAGGGTATGTGATCCTTTTTTGAGATCCAAAGGCCTTTTAAGGTTTTTGCCCCATGTTCGTGCCTGGAGCAGAAAGGGCCTTTTGTTGTAACTGTAACAAGAATACACACAGGCCTTTTACAGCTTTACAAATAAATGTGCTGGAACATATAGCCCAAAGTGAAGATGAAATCAGGGCCCTGAAAGTGGTGGCAGCTCCAGTTACTTTCAGCTGATTGTACCAAGGATTGGGGTCACAAAAGAGAAGGATAATTTGCAGCTCAGCATATGGGAAAGAAAAGAACTCTTTCTGGCTGACTTGCTGGAACTCAATCCTGCAGCAAACCCCCAAAGTCAGCATTATGTCGTGAGCGATTAAGTGAGGTGTCACTTCTCTTCTGGCAGAAAGAGGGGTGCTGTTTTGGGCAGGTTTATAGATGCAGCAGTTCTTTGCACGTGGAGGTTACAAGCTGGTTTGTTACTTAGCCATCAGTCAATAAGTATTTTTTTCCTGCTTCCTGTGTAATCACTTTTCCAAGGTGATGTTGACTGCAGCAAGGTAAACTGGGCATCCATCCTGCTTGCTAAGCAGATGGTTCCTTCTGCATGGATCCCTTCAGTGCCAGCATGGGATGGGCTGGAGTGGTCAAGCAGTGTTGGGGAGGGCCTGAAAATGATGAAGGAGCTTTCTGTTGCAGATTTCACTGTGTGCATTCATGTGCAGATTCACAGTGAGAGGCACTGCAGGGTTGCCCAGAGAAAGCAGATGGACTTGGGTGTATGGTGGTTTGGAGGGGCGAGCGGAGGACAAGGGGCCACAAGTCACAGCTTCCCTGCTCTCCCAAGCAAGACACCCTGTCACTGCCTGGGCAAACTGAGCTCAGCTACAGGAGGACAGCAGTAAAACTGTGGGAGATGGCAGGCATTTTCACAGCGAAGAAAGGAGGATGTGCCAACCTCCTTTATCAATCCAGCCCCAGTATTGTGTGACTGCTCCTGGGCATCCCTCCCTTGTCAGCCCCTCTTCCGTTCCTGCCAGGCCACAGAATGCCCGCCAGCTCCTGGAGCGGGCCCAGCTCGTTCCGTGAGCTGTCACTGACCAGCACTTGCCAGGCTGCTGCTGAAGAGCTGTTGGCCTTCTCAGCACCTCCGAGATGATAATCCCAGGGGAGCTTTCGGAATGGCCTCTTGGTAAACCAGCTGACAGTAGGCATGTGCATAGGTTAGCATTATGCTGATACAGAAGGTAAACTTACTTCAGTTTCAGCCAAGTGTTAATGATGTTTTCTTAACTGCCTGTTCAGTTCTTTGTGGATCTTACTTGCTAAATATTTGATACAGCTCTGAATTTTAAGAGATGTGTTGGTCTCTCAGTTCTTTGTGCATAAGTGACTTGTTTGCAGCACGCCAGCAGACAGGCTGGCTGCATATGTCCAAGTCCTGGTCCAGTCATCATGTATGCTGAGCTGTGGGGTTTCATACATCTCATTTTATTAAGAGCATTCTCTGTTAGAGTCAGCTTACAACAGTTTTTAATCCTTAAGTTTGATCTCCTCTATATTTTATTCATGACCTCTGCACTCAGACTTTAATTCAGCATTTCAAGACTGGAAAAAACACTTCTAAGAACAGTAAGAGTATATATTAAATGTCTTCTCTAGCTTCCCTTCAGGAGTAAAACTGGGTTCTGTAACTCTACACGTCCGGACATACTTGTATATTCCAGGATAAGAAAATGTTTGAGAGAACCTTATTTGTTCTTTGTATAGGGAATTTATCCTTTTAGAAAATAGGCATCCGGTATTTCTAATTAGCTAAATACTAGGAATTGCCCAGGTTTTTGCCTTGCTGCCTAATCTCATCACAGCCTTCTCTGGGCTTTTCTGTCACTGCTTCCAAGGCAAACCCCAGGGGCAGTTGTGTGCAGCAGCCCTGGCACAGCTGCAGTGCTGTGTGCTCTGTTCCTCTCACCTCTGTGAAGGAACGCATTCTGCTTGGTCCAGCATAAATGTGCCTTCTGTTTCCATCTCCAGGTCATCTCTGCTAACACTGCAGCCTTCAGAAGCCTGTCTGCCCTTTCTGCTGAGCCTGTTCCCTGACTCAGGCTCAGGTTCATGGACCTCTGTGGTTTGGCTTCCCAGGCTTCAGAAACCCCCTAAAGCCAGTTCCCTTCTGTAACCAAACCCCCAACCCAATCATTAGGCCGTGATTCCTGTGTCCAGAGAGAAGCCTTTATTGGAGCTATTGGAAGCAATGGGACATGGTTCTGGGTTTATATACAGAGAAGTCTGTAGCACTGGGTTACAATCAGTGGCAAATGACCCGCGGTTACAGTGCAGATCTGTTGTGTACAGAACAGTGTGGTACAAACCACAGCACAGAAGCCAAATGAAGCCGAGGGGCCGGTACAGCAGCACAGGAGGAAGCGACTGAATGTACAGAGAGCGTTCCCTTGACATTTGCAGGCTTTTTTGGCTAGTGAGTAGAGACAGCTCAATTGAAAATTCAGTGTGCAGTTATTTTTCTTCCCACTCAACTGCTTCCAAATTAAGAAAATTTGAATGTTCAGATTACGTTTTTAATGCTATAAATAGCTATGGTTGTTGCCAAATTACTTTATTTGAAATTTCTTTCTTTAGAGTATAGTCAGGAATAGTTCAGTCATCATTGTTCTTTACTGATTATAAATCGGGAGAAAACTGAAGGATTTTCAAAGTAGTCTGTAATTAGAGCACAAGGATCTCTTGTACTTCATTTGGAAGTTTAATTCTGGGTAACATCTTTTGAGAGAGATTTATTGGGAAGAAAGATTGAATTGTCTACCATATTAGTCATTTGTGGAATTCATTCATAGTACTTAAGGTTTTGATAGTTTAAAGGTCATACTTCTTTGTATTCAATCCATATCCAATCTTAGTGTAAAAATAAACACTCCATCCTCTATGGATAAATAAATCCATCTGTTGGCTGCAGGTCAGACCTTTATTGGTGAAAGAGATTTAGAAAAATAGAGCTTTTCTTTAACGTTTAATATGCTGACCCACAAAGGAAAAGTGAAATTCATTCAAGTCTAGAAACAGAAATACAGTACAAGTGATTTATAGATTGCATTCCCTCTCTACAAACTTGCTGAGCATGAAACACTGCCCCAAAGCACTGCCTCTGTCCTTTCCTTGTCTTGGAGAAGTCATTGTCATCAGAGAAGTCTGATTGTCATCATACTGCACTGCCAGATTTCCTGTCAGAAGGGCTCTGCCTCCTGATGAGTCTTTGCTTAGGAATTATTTAGATGGATGGTGGTGGTTTGGGTTCTACAAAGGTGATGATATTTTAACCCAAATTAGCAGCAATTTGAATTGATTTGATTGGTGATTTTTGGTGGATGAAAGCTCAACCATTTAAAAAAGTGCCTGTGATTGGATTTGGAAAACAACAGCCTTTCCTCAAAATCTCCACTTCCAAGCCTGCTTCCCATGGGTGTCTTCCTCAGCAAGGGGCTGGTACGTTTGGCAGCACAGGTTTCATGCTCAACTTTGTCACTAAGAGCTAGACAGGACTTTAAAAAGCATTCACAGCCCACTGGGACTTGCTCTGCTGTACTACTTCAGTGCTCTGGAGAGCCCCCACCCCAGCAGTGTTGCTCTCTGAGAAGTGCCAGTGTCCCAGCCTGGTCTGGGGCAGCTGCAGGACGTGACATTCCGCACTGGAAGCAGTAGTTAGTTAAGCACCAGTTACTGGCCCCTGCAGAGGCTCAAGAGAACAGGATTGCTTCGTAGAGAGCTGGTCAGCCTAAAAAGCTTAGTCAGTTGGATCAATAAATATTGACTTAGGGTTAGGATTAGAAATAAGACACTGCACCTTGGAACTGGAAGACAGAGTCAACTTCCTCCCTTTTCTGTCCAAAAGGAGACCGGCTCCAAAATGTTTGTCCTTAAGGACCTTTGTGATGCCCGACACATAGCTCACTAAGCGCGTATGAATGGACCTGTCCCTTCGGTAGGGACACTGGATGTGTGACTGGACAAAGCTTTGAGGCTTTTTTCTGTGATTTTTTTTTTTTTTGTCTTAACCATCTGCTCTGTGTCATGTTGTCCCTGAAGGCATATTTACCCACTCCTAAATTATGCAGCATTGCCCAGAGAATGGCTCTGTAGTTGAATATGCTCTCTGCAGTACAGCCTCCCTTTTCCTCCAGTGGATGTGGATTTCCATGCAATAGATGTTATTAGAAAACTACACTTGTCTTTATCCTGTTATTTTTGAGCAGGGAAGCAGTGATATGAATTTGAAAACACAGGAAATAATCTGTACAGCAAATCAGAATTTTCATAATTAAATTCACATGATCACTAACTCTTCAAAAGCTGTACTGCTCTGAATGCTGTTCTCCAGCCCACCATTCTTCTCCTTTGAGCAGTATCACTTTCCATCTGCTCAGAAACAGTTCTTTGTGGAAATAATGAAAGAAGAATAAATACTGCCTCTCCTACACTGACTCTGTGAGTTTACAGGACACCCTTACAGAACTCCCTCAGTTCTGTTGGGAGTGCAGCAATACACACATTTCGGTATGCATAGATCAGTAAATTGTAGCAGTGCCAGCAGTAAAACAAAACTCGCCAAGATGTCCTGTTCCTCTTAATTAAGCTTGATTTATATGTGCCTGTTGACTTAAGATGTGGTTAGTGTCCACTGCTGGGATGATGCAGTACCCTGAGTAACTTTATTGATTATGCTTACACAAGCTTGTGCTTTTCCAAGAACACAGAAACGGAGCACAAAGAGAATAAAGAAGTGTATCAGGTTGTTTCCATGGAACACTGTTAATCTATTCATAGCAGCTTCGAAGTATGAAGTTAAAACTTACCTTCTGCTCTACTCCCTTCAAAACAGATGAGTGCTATGATTAACTCCCCTTTAGCTTAAAAAATAGAAGCGGGTAGAATGTCAAAATACGTTTTGCTGGTAAGATGAACTTTGTCATAACTAGTTACACCAGTGTTGGTGACCTGGGGTATGTACATTACAACAGGGAGTTGTGGGAGCAGTGTCTGCCCTCCCTTGTTGCCTTGTTCCTCTGGGTAAAGACAGCTTGTCTAGAATACTCTGGGCATTGTAGAAATAACTAACTAGTATTCCTTTAGGGGGAAATTGTCCCTCCCAAACTTCAGTTGCATGCTATAGGCACTGCCTGCAACTGCCTCCTTATTTTGGGTAGGGCTGCATCAGGGAAAAGAATTTGATGACTGGATTTCTCTTGTTCCTCCTCTGGAAAACCTGCAGTCCTGGACTTGTTTCTGAACAGAAAAAAACATTAATCTGCTGTAGCAACATCAGTATCAGCTTTAGCTGTATGGATAGCTTAAACCTCTTATTTCTTACTAACTATTAAAAAAGCAATACCATCTGCCCCTGCTCTTAGAACACTGAAGCTGCTGGTTTTCCACAGCAGACATAAACCACAGACTCTCTTAACGGACCTGGAAAAGGCAGTGCAACTTTCCCTCCAACGTCCTGTCTCTGGTGGATCCATGATCTCTCTCTGACTGCAGACAGACGTTCTACTCCCGTTTTTTTCCTTCTCTCTCTGGCCACAGCCCTTTCTGCCAGAACTGATTGCACAGATGCAATCAGCAGTGCTGCACTACACCTGCTGAACTGCAGAGCAGCATCAGGCAGCTGCAGCTTCTACATCCAGCTGAGAGGCAGGAGTGAGCCTTAAGTTTAATCAATTAAAAATTAATTGCGACTCTTACTCATTCCAGCTCCCCTGTACTAATGAGTGAAGGATAGCCAGTTACATTCAATTAATGCCTTTTAAAATTAAGTGTTATTTGTTCTAGTAGAGATAACAGTCCAGAGGTTTTCACAAACATGCACTTCAGGCTGGTGATAAAACATTCTGATGTTGTTTACTTACACAGCATAGAAGAGACTGTAGCTTTAATTATCTTTCTTATTGCCCCAAACCTTTGAAGTTAGAAATCAGATAAATTCAGTCTCTGTGGTTAAATTTTTTTTATGCTCTTACATTCTTAAAACTCTAATTTATTGGTAGATTATTAATTAAACATGGAAGAGTACTCTCCCCCTGAGAAGGCTTCAGTCTGTGCAAGAGTTTCTATAGACTAGGCTTGATGGGTTCTTTTCAAGTACACTTAACTACTAAACTACCTGTGGTATAGTATATATGACCTTAAATTGTACAGAGTTAAGGCACCAAATACAAGATAAAACAACATCCAAATTAAGAGATCTGCTTTAGAACTGCACATCCCCACACACCACTTTGGGACATTCAGCTCCTCTTAAAAATCATGGTAAAACACGTCTGAATGTTTCTTGCAGTCACAGGAACTGGAGAAAACCCCCCACTTTACTGAATTTAAATCTTCCTGTGTGACGGCCTTTTCTCTTACCTATCTGCTGCCCCTCACAGAGGAGCACTGCCTTGCCTGCACAGCATCACACAGGCCTGGCACAAAGAGCACCCTTTGTCCTAAGAGACCCCGGAGAGAGGAACAGGCAGATATGTCCTACTTGTGCTTTTATATTATCTGACAGCAGGTACAAACCAACGAGTGAATGAGTCCCCTTCCTGTGAGCACAATGGGAACAAGATGTGTCAGGAGCAGTAGAATGCCTGCACGTAAATCAGTGGGGATTTAGATGGCACAAATAAAGCTAAGGAGACATAACTCTGGGGTTGAGTAATGAAACAGCTTCATGGTGACAATTCTCTTAATGCCAAACACTTAACTCCTGGCTTACGTGGTTTATGTTCCAAAGGAAGGGCAGGGGACCTGCCGTGGTCCAGAGGCCCAGGACTTCAGTGCCGACTTTCTCCTGTCACTGCTCTACAGTGACTTGAACAGAATTTCCTCTCAGAGTGGGATGAACCCAGCGAGCCCCCAGACAAGCTGTCTCCTGTTGTATAGACAGCAGATTCAACTACACTGTGCCTTTGCTTTGTTTTAAACAAGTCAATAAAGTGTCTCATTTTTCACTAGGTTATTCAGCAGGAAGCCCGAGAGGCTCTGTGTGCTGAACACTGGAGCTGAGTTACTGTTTTTTGAGACAGAGCAGCCCTTCCTAACAGAGCTCCTCAGTGAGCCCAGCACAGAGCTCATTTTCATTCTTTTGATGCCAGAGAGGGGAGGGCTCAGTCAGCTCCACGACTGAGAACAACAATCTGAACTCCGTGTTTACACATCCCATGGTGTATCCAAAGGAATCCGCAGCCGCAGAGTTCTTGTGCTGTTTCCCAGAGCCACCGGAAATAGGAGCTGTTTTTGTAAGCTGCTTCTGTGGCTTGGAACTCAGCGAAGCTGGGACAGAGTTTCCCCTTGATTAAGTAACAGGCAACTGTCTACTGAGAATTTAGCTAAAGGCGAGGAGTTCTAATACCGAGTGAGCACAAGAGGCAGAGGGAAACCTGCCATTTTGTGTGAGTAAAGACTGAAATACTGCCTTGTCTGCCTGCTCTTCATCTGTACACATCTGGAGGGATGTTCAGGAGTCCCACCTCTAGGCTGGCTCTCAGAAGTGCAGATGCAGAATTACAAATGAAGCAAGGGACACTTCATGTCAGGGAATTGGTGACTGAAAAGACAGGGACTGCTGGGCTCGCTCTCCTGGGGCACTGCTGGGACTGGATCAGGGGTGGCACGTTAACGCTGCTCACATTTATTGCTATCTTGGAGATTAAGAAATGACAAGAGTTTGATGTTCCAGAGCTGAACAGCCAACAAATAGGAGATTTTTCTTCCTAGACTACTTGAAAAATCTCCATGCACCGCTTCCTGCATTTTCTGCTTCCTAATAATCTGAGGAACTTGTTGTCAGGGAAATTATTCTCAGTAGCTCAATGAAAGCAAAAAGCCTCAAATAATTTTATATTTGTGCACTTTTCCCCAATTAAGTTCTTTCAGGGGCTTGAGGGCACAGTCTTCTATTGAGTATGACACACTTTAAATCTTTTTTTCCTACCAGAAGGCAAGTGTTCTCAAAGAAAGAATCCCTGTCTCCAGAGATCAGAGATCCTGGAGTAGTTTTCTGATCTTTGTAAATGAGTAGAAATAGTCCCCTGGCACATGAATAAGTTGAAATATTTGTAGGAAAACTAGTTTCTTTGAAGTGCTTCATAGTCTGGTTAAAAGTTTTTAAGAATCTAGACACTCCTATGTAAAGTTCCATAATTTGAGAGAATCAGCTATTTACTGGGATACCAGAAGGTGATCAGAAAGGGCAGGGCAGGGCAGGAGGACAGAGTACAGAAGCAAAGGTATTTACCAGCAGAGAAAGTTGTGGCAACAGCATTTAGAGCACATTAACTGGGAGCCATGACATTTGCTGAATCATCTAATTAGCTCACACTGGCCACACGACAGCAAATTAGACAGATTAGGAACCACCTACCCAGGCACCAAACTGCCTTTGTGAGGGTTGGACTGGGCACCGTGTCCAGCAGAAATTGCTTGGGCAGCGAGGCCGCGCGTTCCACATTCCCTCCCTGAGCACGGCTGGCCCCGCTCCAGCCCCGGGCACCACGCCCGGCAACAAGGTCACCGTGTTCCAAGTCCTGGGCTGTGCTCAGGGGAGACTGCAAGCACTGGCACAGAGGGGACACGATGGCAGGAAGCATCACAGCCCTTGCTTTGAGCCAGCCAGCCCCTCCAGAGCAGTGTGGTTACTCTGACACCTCCTCTAGGTAGAACACGGCTGGACAATCTCCGGTGGCTGCTGAAGTAGGACTGAGCAGACCCCAGAGTTCACAGATGTTACTCCAAAGTCAATAGCAACGCCATTCACCTCCAGTACAGATAACACATCAAACAGGTCAGTTCCTTATTGTAAATCTCTGGCTGCTTTTAATCCTTTAAGTGCCAGACACCATCTCCCAAAATACACACGATCATCTGGTTAGCTAAAACGAGCGGTGAGGTGGGTAGTGTACGGGCACAGACTCTCCCTGCTCTCCTATTTATAGATGTACTAATTGAAAGGAACTTCTTCGGAATTCTTTTCCATGAACCAGAAATTCAAACTGTAAAGTAACATTTGTGCTTCACTGGAAAGGGGCTGCCGAACGGGCAGTGATCCTGGCAGCTGCACAAAGCATGTGGAACCAGGGGTACGTGTCTGGCTGCTGGGCACACAGAAATACAGAGCTCAGGAGCAGTGACACAGACCTCCAACCTCACAGAAAAGGCACTTCAAACCACGCTCCTCTGAGGAGGCTTTTCAGAGGAAACCTACAACATTGTGCAAAAAAGAGTTTCTAGTTCTGCCTTGGCGTTAAAACAGTGCTTGTTGCAACACTGATGAAGCAGATGTCACCCAAATTACTCATCACATAATAGCCTGATATTTCAGTTAGGTTAAAACCTACTGAGAATTTGGCTGCTCTCTCAAATGCCAGAGCATCAGGCACTTAAGAACCTACTCTGTGACTCTTTGACACATGGGGCTATTTTGCTCAAGTTCCACATCAGTGAGGGGATTCCCAGGCAATCCTGCACTCTCGGGTCTGAGCTCTGATTCCAAGGGGCTGCAGAACCCAGGATTTAGGAGTTTTAAGTACTCTGTTTCACATGGCAGGAAAAGGTTCTCCTACTGTGAAGGGAGGCAGCAAAGGCAAGGGGACATTTCAGACCTAAGTACTGCATTACAAACAACAGTGTTTTAGAGAAATTTAGAGAAAAAAGATCCAACAAATTAAAAAAAAAACAGTAGGAGAGTGGAATACTTAGGATAGTAAGAGTTAAAAGGGTGATGGCAGAAACATAGGGAAATTCACAGTCACAGCAATTCTGATGGAAAGAAACACAGATGGATTAAGCTGCCAAGCACAGTCCATGAAGAAGCAGATCAAATGAGAGTCAGCAAGATGTTCGTTATCAGTCCTTGACCTGGACAGTGCTTGTCAGGCTGACAGCAGTTAGGAAGGGAATACTCAGGAGAAGTTCATTATAATGCACCTTAATGCATCTAAACTCCTGTCTGAAGGAGGCACAGCAGCTGCTGCTCTGGGATCAGCAATGCTCTGGCATCAGCTGCTGCTCTGGGATCAGACTGCTGTGGGATCAGCTGCTGCTCTGGGATCAGCACTGCTGTGGGATCAGCACTGCTCTGGGATCAGCACTGCTCTGGGATCAGCACTGCTGTGGGATCAGACTGCTGTGGGATCAGCATTACTCTGGGATCAGCACTGCTGTGGGATCAGCACTGCTCTGGGATCAGCACTGCTGTGGGATCAGACTGCTCTGGGATCAGCTGCTACTCTGGGATCAGCACTGCTCTGGGATCAGCACTGCTCTGGGATCAGACTGCTCTGGGATCAGCACTGCTCTGGGATCAGATTGCTCTGGGATCAGCATTCCTCTGGGATCAGCACTGCTCTGGGATCAGCACTGCTCTGGGATCAGACTGCTCTGGGATCAGCACTGCCCTGGAAGGATGTTCTGATGGCTCATCAGCTGTCCTGCAAGTGTCAGTGAAGGGTTCTGTGTTTCCAGGGCCAGCCCCTGACACAGCTCCTCAAGTTCAGTTCCCCAGGTGCCACCTGCCAGGCCAGGTTCCTGCCCACAGGAGCAACAGCTCTTGATCAGCCTGGAATTCTCTGCAGACATCCCCTGAGCTATGGATAACCTACACACACAGTTATTTAGTGAATCTGATGGCTCAGTATTAAAATCAAACACAGTTTATATTTGCTCTTGAATTTTGATGCAGATATTCTGTACTAAGTCTGCTTCATACCGATATAAACTGTGATCAGTCCGGGGTTTATTTATCTTTTAATCTCTGAATTGAGACCCTAAAAAGCTGCTACATCATCATCAACTTGCTCTCTTTTGCTTTTTTATTTTTTAAGCATTTTTATATAAAAAGAGTTGTTTCCAGCAACTTCAAGTTCTGCAAGAACTGCACTTCTGCAGTTCTGTACTATGCAACTTTGCATAAAGCAAGGTTTAAAAGGCAAATAAAAAAAATAGTATTTTAAAACTACACATATCATGTGCACCAATGGGTCATAATCCAAACCCATTTTAATCCAAGTAAAATGTGTTAAAACATTTACTACAGAACGGAAAACAATTATTTATGGATGGCTGTATCCTGATTTCCAGCTGTAGAAAACCACAGCTAAGCACATGATTCACACAGAGATCAATCCCTGCCTGCCTGCCCTCCTCTGCACACAGGGGAGGGAAGCAAACTTGGCTGCTTCCTGAATTAATTTGGCTTAATGTAATTTGATCTCTGCAGATTTTAACTGTAATATCATCAAAGTCTTTCCTTCTTCATTTGGAGTTTAGCTTTAATAGTTTAGGGAAACAGTTTCTCTCGTTATCAGTTCGTTACTGTCACCCATCCCACATCCCCAGGACCAAGGTGTGGCCTTCAGAGCTGGCTTTGGTACCTACCCAGAGGTATCCACAGGGATTGCACTGCCTGGCACAGCAGTAGCAATACTGCTTTTTATGCTACACAAGAGGAAAATATTGGAAGAACAGTCTGCTGATAAAACCAAACAATTTCTTAAAAGTGTTAGGTAATATTTTCTTTCTTAACTGGGGGTATTTGAATTGGCCTTGAGGAATACAAAGTTGGGATTCAGACCTAAGTATCACCTCTTTAAACACTGAGTTAAACAAGACATAATAAAAACGTGCCATATACAAGATTGTCACAGATATATGAGATTCTTAGAAAAAAAGCAATAAAAATAGTCTTTAAGCTGAAAATAAAATCTCTTACCTTTTATATCAGGGTCTCAGCTTACAGTCACTACATTTCTGCTTATTTTATACAAGTGCATATGGCTATGAAGGTCCGGAGAGAATGAGAATAAAGTGGAATTAACCTGCTGAAAACTGCTTAGAAGTCTTAAGCTGTAACATATAGATGTTCCAATACCATTTAAAAAAACATTCACCTTTCAGTTATTGCTGATTGACAATCTCAAAGTATCAACATACAAATATGCAAGAGGAAAAAACCTCAGTAAATTTAGAGCAGCAAAGTTTTTTGACCTGGATGTTTCCCAAATACCGAGTTTTCCTATCGTTTGGTGATGGTTTAAAGAGACACAAAAGCAATCCACTTGACTTTCCAGTTCAGGCCTACCCTTTTTGTGCCTCATATCAATGATGTGGGGAAAAGAGAGAGAGAAGATATCATTTAGTTACGTTTTGGAAAAAAGAGATATTGTTTTTCTCTTCTACTTCTTTGCTACATTTCATGTCTGCTGAGGTGCACAATGGTACCAAGCACTTCAGCAGTGACCATTGCACGGCTCTGTAGCAACTGGGACAGCAAACGTGCAAATACAGCATAGGATTCCAATCGGGAAGGGCTTCAGGAGGGGAGGTGGAGGCAGCTGGCACTGCTTGAAGCAGCACTCGGCCGGGGCTAGGCCTTGGTTGGTGGTTGCTTTTCCCCCCGACACACCAGTCTTTCCCTTTCAGTGTGAGAAATAACCAGGAGTATTTACACATCTATTGCTCTGTACCCAAAGAGAGGACTGGGGCTTGGACCAGGTATTGCTTTTTGTTACATGGAGCAAAGTTCAAGAAGTGAGAAGAACATTTGGGAAAATTAAAAAAAAAAAAAAAAGGAAAAAGGAAAAAAGCTCAGATTCCATGTCTGAAGTTGAGAAACCTCAAAACGAGCCACGTTTTTTCTTGCTTTTAAGACATGTACAAAATGCCATTTGGAGCCACACAACCTGATGGTTCTAGAAGTCAGAGAAGAAATCTTGAGGGCCCAAGTGAATAATAAAAGGTGCGATGCTGAGAGGCTGGCAATAGGGACTGTCAATGAAAAAACCACCTACAGTGGGAGAAGAGCAGAGAAGCAAAAACCTCACGTTAATTGCTGAGACTGGCTGAGGCTAAAGCTCCATTTAAATTTCTCTGCTCTTTCAGCTGCAAGTGGAATTTTCATTGTAAAATGGGCACTTTGAATTCTTTGAAGGTATTGAAACATCTAACACTTTCAAGGTTATCACTTTCTAAACAAAGAACTGACAGCTCATTCATATTTTCAGTAAAGCAGAGAAATGTAAAATATGCAGCAAGGGGGCAAGTTTACAATGTGGTTAGTAACTCCCAACAAATGACAAAAAATAAAAAATGACTTCTATAAATCATCTGAAATGACTGCCATCATGTTGGAAAAGAGCATAGCGCCCTTCTTGTCTTTGAAATAAGAACAAGTTTTTGGCTTACCAATGTTCATTGTATAGAATTGGTTCACAGAATATTTTGTTTGAAATTTTACAAAGCTGGGGATTCAGGAAAAAACAACCAAAAAAAAGAAACTACAAACAGTTGCCAATTGGGGGAACTCCAAAAGGGGGGGAGGGAAATGTGTGTGGAGGAAAGATTCCTTTAATGAATATTTGATTAACAAAAACGGGCTCTGATCAGCCATGCTTTTTCTGCTCCGTGATGGCTTCCTTTCATCCATAGGCCAGCAAACCAGATCAGTGATTTCTGAGCACCTCAATTTGGGGCCCTCCCCAGGCCCTGCTCACCCTCCTGGCCAGGAATCTCCGTCTTATTAAAGTACCACCAGCACCAAGGGAAGGAGAGCTCCGGCAGAAGGAAACCCAGTGACATGGAAACACATTCCTAAGCACAAATACTTAGCTTAAGAATAACAGCTGCAGTTAATTCCAAGGAAAGCAGCTTGTTCTATAAGCCACCCCTTATTCAGCTTTTCTAATATTTCTTTCCCTCTAAGGGGGTGTGGGGGAGGAGGGACTTTACGTTGCTTTAAGCACTGGTTTTACACCCTTGTCACATACAAAGCTCCCCCTGCCTCAGCAGCAGAGTCTGTTAGAGAACAGGGGATAAAGGCAAATCTTTGGAAGAGCAGGAACTACAGTCAGCCTATGGAAAAGCAAGGGGTGAGGGCTGAGGAGAGAGTGCAACCAACAACGCTGCTGATTCGTGGGGTGATACCTTAATAAAGACCACTGGAATCCCTCATCAGAGCCCACAATCCAGGGAGACTCCAGTCGTGGAGCTGGGGCCTGTCCTGGAATTTCAGACAGGTGCACCCACTCCTCATGGAAAGAGGAGCTTTGGGTTGGAGCACCAACTGTTAGAAAGTACTGGCCTATGGCTGAAGTGTGTCACTGGTCACAGCAGCACTCAACAAGAACTGGGACAATTAAATAGCAAGTTTTCATGGGGACCTTGTTGCTGCTTTAGATTCTTATAAATGTAAGGGGGAAAAGGAGAACCTTTGGTTTAATAGACAATTGACAACTAAAATGCTTTCTGTAGAAATGGTGGATGGAAAATCAAGGGTGGGCAGACAATCTTAAAAGTGAAGAAGGCCACAAGAACAAGTGCAATTTTTTTCTTTTTTTTCCTCTTTTTTTTTTTTTTTTTTTTTTTGGTAAAAACAGAAAAGAAAGGAAAACGAGCAGCTTTTGAGCTCTGAAGAACCTGATTGTAAGGTTATTGTCCTTTCTCTGGGCAATACGGGCGTAAGGTGTATCCCTGGAATTGCATAAATCCTTCAGTGGGAACTTCCTTGGTTTAATACTTGTTTCACAGAATGCAGCCTTAGACAGAGACAGCCTAAATTAATTCCCTTTGTTTTGTTTGTTTTTCAGCATTTTGTGTACGAGTGAAAGTCTTCTTGGATAATTAAGACTGTGTCTAAAATCACAGTTACAGTATGCTGATCTATAAGGAAACTCAGGTACTGATGCTTAACTATAAAAAATAAGATAAACCAATATTTTAACCCAGATTTTACTAAGTTTATTACACACCATAATATTTACAAAGTTAAATGTTAACTGTAAAGTTTCTATTGTGTGGTGGTTTTTTTTTTTTAATTTTTATTTTTGTTTTTTTTTAAAGAACTATGCCCTGCATTTAATAACCCTACAGCAAGTACAGGTCATTAACTGAGTCTGTGTGACTGCATTAGGAAACAGGCAGTACTCTTGTGTTACAACAAAACAGTTTATTTGTGATCAGTGTTTTATATTCTATACATCCTTCACAAATTTAATTTTACATAATCGGATACTTCATTTAAAACGTAAGATTTAAGCTTCTAGTTCTTCCCTATAACAGAAGGCTGGTATAAGTTATTTGAAAATGAGGTAACATTTCACAGAACATTTTTTTCAAGTTTTAGAGAACTAAATTTGCATTTTGTTAAAATCAAAAAGTAGGAAAAAGATGTTTCTTTACAAATGACTTTGCTCAAGTATGTGTTCAAAGAAAACAGGATAAAAAGGCTTTTTTTCTTCTAACATTCTGTACTGTACTGTGTTGTTCAATCAATAGGAATTAGCTTCTGCCATTTGCTAAAAGAATGAGTAGTGGGGAACGGGGTAAGTTGGGAATTTCATAACTGGTAACAGAACCATTCTCTTGGGTAAACCTACAGAGAGAAGAAAGGGAGAGGACTCCAAATAAGTTCAGCAATCCAAGAAAGTCAGATAAGAGCTTACAGTAGTGTTCTCATTAACCTTTTCCAGATCAGTCAGTCAATGGGATTTCAGGGTGCAGTCCTGTGGACAGTAACACTTCCCCACTTTGCACTATTTCAGACAGATGGCTGGCCTAAAGTCTGCTTTTATTTTTGTCCTGGTGTTTGGTAAAATTAAAGGAAGTGATATTCTCAAAAGCAGAGTGTGTATTTGGGCTTGAAGCTCTACTTCATGATCTTTATGGTAATTAACCTCTACTAGCTCGTTCTGAGCTCATTTCACAAGCCAGTTGCAACTGCAGATATTCTAGACAGGCACTGCTGTGCATAAAATACAACTCACAGGGAAACTGTTCAGCAGTTTGGATCAGCATCCAGGTAGGTCAGCCAAAAATCAAGCACCTACAGTAAATTCTGCATCTGCTTCCTTATTCTGCATTCCCTCTCCTGTACTGAAGTGGCAAATCTGGAAAGATTAACATCTGCCTGATTCCATGATAATTTTAGAGTTCTTGTGGCCTCACAAACTTCTGCACAATTAAACGTTTGTTTGGTTTTTTAATCTTGCCTATTTAAATTCTAGTATTTAACCTATGTATCCATTTAGAAATCACAAAGCAGCAACAGCAGGTATTCCAGAGCACCAGATGATCAAAGTGAAGTTTCCCAACATGCAACAGCTTACAAAGGCAAAGAGACATGTTTACCTTACAGCCAAAAAGCATTATCCCAGAACTTCGCATCACAATCATAAGACATTAAGAACAGAAACTCTTTATGTGAAAAATGGGGGCATCCAATTCCACAACGCTTTGAAGTCAGTGATATGTCACATATACACAGCTAAGTGCTTAAAATCCAGCTCCCAAAATAGGCAAAATGAGGGGAAAACCCACAAAACAGAAGGAAGGAATGAAAAAAAGCAAGAAAAGCTGCAAGGAGATTTGGTAACAGTTGCATTCCTGTCTGCAGCAGGGAAAGGATTCCACATGTCACAGTGTGTCACTGCTTGTAAAAATACAGACATGCAGATGCCACTCATCCTGGTTATCGTCTGAGACTGTTGCTTGGAAAGAACCAAGGGGATTTGTGAAAAATCCATACCCTGAACTAATTTCCATTTATTTTTCCCTGAAGGAACCACGTAGCTGTTCCCTGTCCCAGGACAACACTCCATGGGACAGCCCTGCTGCCAGCTGCTTCTGTCAGAGCATGTGGGCAGTCAGCAGGTCTAAAACTAGAGAGGTTTGCTCCAGTTTTGAGGGGAGAATTCCACACTGAGTGCAGCCCGTGGGCCCATCCTCCATCCCCTTTCAGTACAGAATTGGACCAGCTGGTGCCAGTCAGGCAAAACAAACACTTTCCATAAAGCAGCAGCATTCTTCCCTTCTTAGAGCTTGTACTGCTGTAAAAGTCAGGAAATCAACATTTCAAAATATTTCAAACTTTTCTGATGGTATCAGGGGAGTTGGCATTGCCCAAGTTACACAGATTTGGGAGGAATAAGCACCGCAAATGTGAAAAAGCAAAAGTTTCCCACAGGCAAAAGTGCAGGCCCTGAAAGGTGCTGGCCATTTGAGCAGAGGGCTGTGACCCCTGCCATGGGACAGCCTGCTGGGACTGGTTCTGGGGGGCTCAGTTGTGTGTGCCAGGACATATCACTGACTCCAAACTGCTCTGCTCCCATTGCCACATAAACCTCATTCAAAGTAACCAAAAGGGCCGGTTAGAGGAATGCATTGTTAGTCCAGCGTCAAACAAGCCAGGAGGGAGAAGCCAAGTTAAGAAAAACCCTTCCATCACAGCTCTCTGGTCATCAGCTCATGTACAGTCTCCATGAAACCAGTGCTTTGCCAGCCTAATATCACGTGTTTCATAGTAAAAAGCATTGTGGCAAATGACCATGTCCTGGCTGCCTTCAGTCTGATCACTTAACAGTCCAAGCAACCCAAACCCATCCTGTTGGCCCAAGCAGTGGTGGTTTAGCCTGTGGGGGTGGGGGTGTATTTGCCCATAGCCTTCACAGAGTTGACAGCATTAAGGGAGATTTGTCCACAAGCCACTTACACTTGGGGACAAAACAAACATTTCACCAATGTTACTGTAATGCCACTTAGCTAAATCTGGGTCAGAGAAGCTGAAATAGGCCCTTCGGTAGTCTTTGAATGGAGCACGGGTTGGCTGTAAAAAGTAAGGGAACTACTTCCACTGGGTTCCAGTTTAAAGGGAACAGGCAATTAGAACAAGCAGTCCTTCCACAGACCAGGCAAAGCAGAGGCAAAAAGCTACTCCAACCAAAAAAGAACCACAAGGTTATGGCATAGAAGTGTTTTGTCATGGTTTAAGAGCTTTAATCTCTCTGAGTTTCTCCTGGCACTGCCCCCCCGTGGACAGCCCCCCCAGTGGTGCTCTAGGTGTTAATGACAGCTCTGTACGTACCGTAGGCCGGCGCCGCGGTGCTGTACCCGTACGGTGCTCCATAGCCTGCAGGGAAACACAGACACGGGTCACACCTGCACCCTGCCCTGCAGTGCCTGCACCCTGCCCTGCAGTGCCTGCACCCTGCCCTGCAGTGCCTGCACCCTGCCCTGTAGCAGGGCTGCAGCAAAACCAAACACCAACACATGGAAATGCTGCTGAAAACATCAAACTCCACGTGGTGGCTGAAGAACAAGCTACCAGCGACCTCCTCAAGCCTCAGCATCAGAGTGAGATTTCCTATTCCATTGCCTCAGCATTTTCTTTTTGGCTGAATCCCTCAAGTGTGCACTGTCAGAGCACAGAGTTGGCATGACCCAGACATCCCATATTTGCTTCTGTGCTTCCTAAAACACAAGTGCAGTCTAAGCAGAGAACAGCCATTTTCCTAGATTTCCATTACAACGAGGGGAATGTGGGATGCCTGTGACAGATGCCACATCCCCACTGGTAAAGCTGCTTTCTCTGCCATTTCTAGCAAAGTTCCACAGAGGATGTCTGAACATCTCCACATAAACAAAGCAGGATCATTTCCCCCCAAGAGCAAAGTGTGACTCTGGAGTGAGACAGAAAGCAACAGGGATAACACCAATGTTGGTTGCTACATCTCAGTGGTTCATGGAGGGTTTTTTTCTGTTGAGATTGCTTGTGTCATCACAAAAAGCAAGAGATTTCTGAGAAGAACAGGGGATGGAGAGACATAATCTGTGAAGGCCAAGGCTAATAAAAGCTTAACTGCAGCAACTGGGAAATTAAACTTATTTCTGGAGTAATTCCACACTGGCAAGAAGCATGCCCCTGGCAGGTTAAAGTGTCTCATAAATGACTCCTCAGGCAGACAGACAGTTCCAAAAACAATGTTAACAGCCATTAAAAATGAATTACCTGTTTTTAATATTTAAAATGACATGACCATACAGGAACAATGAAGACAGCAGGCTGCTGACTGTGCCAGGAAGGAAGGCTCCCAAACAACAGGGCTGTGCTGTTGGCACATTGAGCTGCTGGAGGGTGTAATTAGTGCTCATGCTGTAATCTGAAAACCTGAGCATGAGGGACGTAACTGTTATTTTCTGGAAGCTATTGGATTTGCTTTGACTAAGGCATCTTCAGCATCTCATTCTTACAAATCTGTGGTTCCTAAAACAAGTGAAAACAATGTCTGGATTCCCTTCCCTGTCATCTGCAGACCTTAGACATGTGGTAGAGTCACAAAGAAAATGCACTTTGAAAAGTAAGGGGAAGGAGAAAGTGTCCATTTTGTTAACTTTTTCTTGGGAAAATGTGAAATGGGAACCAGAAGCTTTGGACTTCCAAAGCAGTTTCTGCTATCAGAACAATACAGTGGGGATCATGACTCCACATCAGCCAGAGCATGAACAGAAATTCTTTTATTTTTGGCCACCACAGAAGCTACTGATAGATGCTTCCAGGTGCAGTTCATGTAGAAAGTTTCTGGGAGCTCAGGGACTCTGGAGCCAGCTGACTTCATGTCTGCAAGGGTTTCTGGGGAAGGCCAATCCTAATGCTAAACAACACATGATCCAGAAGGTTCTTAGGTAGGAAGAGAGTTTTGGGAATTGTGCCATGGCAGTGAACTATGAAGAAGACAAATCATAAAATAATAAAGCCAGGAAAGCCATTATGCCCATAACTGTGTGCTCTGTGCACACCAAGCTTCAAGTTGTACACTCATAAAGGACATGCACTGCCAGCTTTCCAGCTCTTTGATTTATTTAGAGCCCCATGAATTCTGCCTTCTGCTTCATCTCAGATGATTAGAAATCACTTAACACAGGTGACTGACACACATGAAAAAGAACGCCCTGGCAGACAAAAAGAAAGTATCAGCTGTGAGTCTGTGCCTTACCTGGTGTTATGTATCCAGTAGCAGCAGCTGCCCCGACAAATGCCCCTCGTGTTAAAGCACCTCGTCCTCTGCCTCGAACAGCCTGGACTGCTGCAGAAACAGCTGTATTGACAACCCCTTTAGTCTGCCCAGAGTGACAAAAAATAGCAATTCAGAGAGGGAAAGTGTTGCTGGAATACAAGGCCAGCTGCATGGAATGACCCCCTTTCAGAGAGCTCTGGAAGGTGCCAGAAGCGCCAGGCTGGCTGGGCAGGCTGGAGCAGGGTGTGCTGGAGATGTGACTGATGGAACACGGCAGGCCCCCTGCCCGGCCACTGCCTGCAAAGCCCAGCAGTGCCCTCACCCACACCCCGTTACTTTCCTGGGGTTTGGTCAGGACTGACCATCATTGGCTTGTGACCCTCTCTCTGCTGCTCCTCCCTGCTCTCTTTCCCACCTCCTTACAAGCTTCCTCTCCTCGACCTACTGTCTTGGCTTCTCTCTCGCCCTCCTGAACCCACTGCAGCAGGGCCAGGACTTCACCCCAAAGACAGCCAACCACCTCACAAAACAGCAGCCTGTGTTAACCTTACTTTACTAGAATGTTGCCTCCTGTATCAAAAGACAATCCAGAGCTGGGATAACAGAGCAGTCCAAAAAGCAAGTAACGATTCTTACCTGAGGAAGAATCTTCTTCTTCTTGTTGTTTGCTGCATTAGGCCCAGAAAACAGTTTTTCAAGTGCTGCTAATGCAGCACTTGCTTTTGCTACCTTCTTGTTTGGGCCTGCACCTCTGAACTTCTGCCCATCTACTTCTACCTGAAAATTGAGACATGAGTTTATGGCTAGTGTTGATCTCTAGGAATACCACATTGCACCCACTGGGCTGAGGTGCCACCCACAGAGAATCTGAGTAGGAAAAAGTCCTCTTGTGTTTTATGTGACAAAGTTCCATTCATTCTAGATATGAAGCTGGTAACCAATGTATCCCAGATACTGGGAATCTGGAAACCACAAGTGCAATTCAGAGGGGAGCAGTGTCTGTTGGACACAGGATTTAGCCCATACCCTGGAGCCTTCCTTGACAGGAATCACGTGAGGCTCCCCTCATCTTCATCAATGCCTTACAGACCATCATCCTTGCCTACACTATACACTAAACTGCAGCAGCAAGTGCTCTGACCCACTGGTAACAAAACCCCAGCAACTGCAGCTCTGCTGCACTCACCTCCATCACAAAGCGCTTGTCGTGGCTCCCACCGGTCTCAGAGATGAGCTCGTACTTGAGACCTCTTCTCTTTTCATTGAGCTCCATCACCGGGTTTTTGCCACTTGCTGTGAGTATGGGACCCTGAGTTCTTACCTAGAGAGACATTCAGGGTGTTACTTCAGAGCCTTTCCCTGTTCAAAAGGGGCCAGAGCTGTGCAGATCTGTCCCAGGCGGCGCTGCCTGGGCTCAGCACCACGTGCTGCGCTGCCAGAGCACATGGGAAGCCTCTAAAGGACAATGGTGCCGAAGAAGTCACAGCCATTTGCTGGTGAGGGCAGCGTCCTCATGGCCTGGTCTGGTGCCTGCACAACCCTAACTTGGAACCAGAACCCTGAGAGAATGCAGAGCTGCAGGTGGGGCTGTGGTGTCGAGTTCCTTGACAGGGAAGGCTCCATCACCAAAAGGACAGACCAGCCCTCCCAGCCCTGCCCGCGTCTCTGCTCCGTCTAATTACGGCCTGGCACTGCCCAGCTCGGACTGAAGAAGTCTCGTATCCTGAGTCACGTGTTGCAGCAGAAATATCTGTTACTGTCTGGAGAGCAGAGATCTCAGCACACCAGAGATCAGCTGCCATGAATGCTCTCAGCCACGCTTACGAACAGGGCAGCTGGGTTAGGAACACCCCCTTTCCCTGGAAACTTCTCAGTGGACTAAACATGTATGAGATTTGAGTTATCCATGATAACACACTGACTGGAAATTATGTTGTCTCCCAGCTGAAGAAATTCATGTTTTAATATCTTGGCAAGTAGAAGAACAGAAAATAGAACAGTAAAAAGTGAAAACCCAAAGCCCACATCTCTCTGTCACTTGTACCTTCCATGCAGTCCTCACCTCTAGGGTAGCAGAGGTGTCCGCTGTGGAATTTCCAGTATTATTGCTTGAGATTGAAGACGTAGTTTCATTTTTACCTTCAGTATCTGATTTTTCATCAGAACTCACACATTCCACGTCTGCATCAAAGCCAGTGGGATATCCCATTGCTTGTAAAACCTACAACAAAGGCCCGGGAAATGAACTGTGACAGAGGCAGCAGAACAGGAACAAATACAAAGCTGATCACAACACCAAAACACATCCACCATACACTTACTAAAAGCAGATTGCACAGAATGTTAGTTTTCTCCTATTTGAAATGGAGATAACCATTTCAGTGGATATCAGTGGGGAATACAGTATCAATGGGGAAAATAATTCCAGGTTTCCAAAAGTGGGATCAACACAAGAATTTTAGTCTCAAAGACAGCAATTACTCATGAGCATCATTCACCATCTCGAGAATTTCTTGTAAAATAAGAGATTAAAGGCACTGTTTAACAGCACAGTAAGGAGATTATTTCACACATGATTTTTTCCCTCTCTGTGTCCATGGACAGATCAGGAGACGGACTGTGGGGCAAACAGTCTTGTGAGTATTAAAGCCTTGTACAAGATGGTACTTCTGGAGCTCAGTTCCTTCAAAAACACGCTCCACTAGCAAGGCCAGCCTCTCCCTTAACCAGCTGTGCAGAGCTACCACACATGGGGCTAAAGGAGCTGGAGAGGAACCTGCAGCTCTGCTGGAAATTCAGTGCCAAGAACAAAGTCTGCAAAAATCCCTTTGTTCCAGCCCTCAGCTGAGCACTGCACAGGTAACCCCAGGCTCAGCTCCCATGCAATCAGGGAACATCTGGCTGTATTTGCAGGGCTTCTGCATTTCAGAGAGGTCAGATTAGAAAGTGAAATGGTCACATTATTCCCTCTTATAAGACTGGGCAGACAGGGCCTGGATCTGCTAGGAAAGGCAAGAAAGAAAAAAAGTGAGTCTCTACCACACCACCCATTTCCTCTTGGCTTGAATCGTGGATGTTTTGATGTGTAAATTTAGAGAAAACGAAGCTGGGTCGGCACCAGCACAGATCTGGCTGACGCAGAGAGATTCAAGGGCAGAGCAGTCACAGCTTTTCAGGGCAAGTGGGTTTTTTGGGCCTTTTTTTTTTTTTTTTAACAACTGCAGGGAGGGAGGCAAAATAAAAAGAGTAAGGCAGAAATTCTGGAAGGACACACATGCAGAGAGCTACTTTTCCTGGAGGAACAACACAGGCCCTCAGATACTTCTGGACACTTTGAACTTGAAAGCACACAGGACAATGGGATTTTGAAAACTGAAATCAAAGGAAAGCAGAAAGTTGCCAGATGAAGCTTCTAAAAAGGAAATTCTTGTTAAAAACAAAACAAAGTGCAGAACGACAGACGGGCCTGTTCCTGTCAGAGGTGCAGTTCTGTTAACAGAGGTTCTTCCACAGAACTGGTTAGGTTGGAAAAGACCTGTAAGATCATCAAATCCAACCACTGGTTACCCCAGCCCTGCCAAGCCCCCACTAAGCCACGTCCCCATGCACCACATCTGGGGGATGCTCACGCTGGGGGTTCCAGTCTGCCACTGCTGTCATGTAGAGCACCCACAAGAAGAACAGCAGGTTGAGTAGTCCCAGAATGAGACCACAGTCCTGGTGAAAATCTGACTGGAGACCCATCATTTACATCCAGTGTCTCTCCCAGTACACAAGGGGACTCTTTCAGACACGGAGGGCAGAAAACAACTCCATCTCGCCAGGTCTCACAAGCCAAAAATGGACAGAAGGAAGGGGAGAAAGAGGGAGCCCGCAGTATGCTGTCCCCAAACAACACAGGCAGGAACAGAACAGAACTCAACTGAATCCCCCCCATCCAGGACTTGGCCACCACATTCAGCCCACTGCAACATGAGCTGACCTGCAGAGCCCTGGGAAGTTCTCCCCCCCACAGCACAAACCCAGGGATGCTCTCTGAACCATGCCCAGCTGTGTTTAAAGCACACAGGGAGCAGCTCAGCTTCATCCACATTTTTTTAATTTTGAGGTTGCACAGTAATATCCACATTTCATACTGTGTCCAAAATCTGGGGTTAGCAGATTACTTGAGGCTGCCTTACCTTCACTGCCACATGGAGCTTGGCTGTTTTCTTAGAAGGTCCTGATGCTTCATAAGTCGTACCATCAACATCTACAGACATTGTGAAGACTGGGGCATGGACTGGACCAGACTGTGACAGCAGCTTATACTGAAGCCCTGGCCTGATTTGGTTCAGCCTCATCAGAGCATTCATGAGATCTATTGCTTTACTATCTAGTACTAGTACAAGATAGTAGAAAGGGTGGGGGAAGGAGGGGGAAGGAAAATGAACAAAACAAGATGAACAGAGAAATGAAACAGTTTGCATTTCAGTGCCTTCTGTTTGTATCAAGGAGCAAAACCACCCCTTGGCCTCTCAGAGGGTGAGGAGAGCCACAGTGCTGTTAAGGCTTTAATATGGCATTTAATTTGGGGTAGCCACTACAATTACCCGGTTTTTATATTAACACAACTCCTTTGCAGCTAGCTGCACTCTTCCTGGCTGCTATAAAAGGAGTAACAAGTTGTATGGGTAGTGGGGAACCAGGTCCAGAGCTGGCACCCAGGTAGTGCAATGCAAACAGCCCCCAGAAGGACTGGATCCCAGCAATGCCAGGAGACTGCCAGTCTGTGCAGATATGCAACGTGAACATTTTCTGGATTAAACTTTGTTTTTTTTTTTTGGTGTGAGGTCTTGGGAGACCAACAACTAGCTCAGGAAGGGGAATAATACAGAGTCCAATCTTCACTCAGCGAAGTCAGTGCAGTACTTTGAAAAACCCACAGTACGGGGACATTACCGATAAAATCCCTCAGCTGCTTGGACAACTTCAATTCTAGTGTAACTCGATGGATAATCCCAGTTAAAAATGCAAATCATTCAGTTAGTAGAACATGCCAGGGGAAATTCAGATGCACAGTAAGAGATGTGTTTGACATTCCAAATGCAGGGTGATAGAGACAACATCTTTTTGTTCCAAAGACTTTTTCACATGCTCTACCACACCAACACAGAGAAGCTTTTAAAGCAGCTCCCCCTGTACAATAGATCTTTGAAAGCAGAATGGAGAAGTGCTGCACTTACTTTTCCTCAGATTACGCTTCATCTTTTTGTTTGGATCCTTGTCATCCCCGACACTGTCTTCAAAGGGTCTCTTCAGAGCAGCCGAGCCTGTACCTGGGGTATAGAGTTCCTTGTAATACGGATATGCCATTAGAAAAACAAGATTGCACAGCAGGAGCCTGATGAGTGCCACACGGTTCCTGGCTTGTTTATAGTGACAAGAACTCATCCATCAGTCACAGCTTTCTTACTGCTGCACAGAAGCCAATATTGGTTTACTGCTCAGTGCACCAGGCCATGCAGGGTGGTTGTGGCCAATACCAGGTGGGAGACAAGCCCTGCAAACCTGCAGCGCTGTTTTCCACACTTACTCTGAAGGCAAGAACTCCACCAGTATTGTTTTTACAAAAAATACAAGTGGACATTTATTTTTATTAGATGTATATTGTTTTCTAGGAAGAATCCTTGGGTAATTGTTATTATTGACACTCATTATATGCATGTTGACAGTTTGCAGTCTTTACTTCCCAGTATAAGAATCAAACACTACTTCTGCTCTTTGCATGGCAAAGGCCTTTCTGCTTAAAGAAATTCATCAGCTATATTGTAGCTGTATTGTACCTCTCTTGGTATTTATAGAGAACAGAAATTCCAGATTTTCTATTTTTTTAAAAAATCACCCTTTAAAAAAGTCTCTACTTCATATTCACAGCACATAACTCAGGAACTTCACCCATTCTGAATTAACCCCTAGTTTACTGCCCAACCAGTGATTTTTGGAACAAATGATACCTACCTTCTTTGTCAGTTACTGACCAGGAATATTTCTGAAATGACTTATTGGATGGGAGGGGATCCATTTCCAACACCTTATAGATCTGCCCAAAGGCTGATAGTCTGAGTGCATGCTGCAAGGGACAGGAGAAACAGGGGTTACATCAGCAGCACTGTGCACAGCTGAACAAGGTTTTAGATAAACTCGGGACACAAACTCGCTCCTGTTCTGGAACACAGCGTGTGGGGCAGGCTGAGGGCAGCACACCCACTCACTGAGGTGGGAGGTGAGCAGGACACAGACATCCCACTGCCCGAGGGGATTCCTCACCCACTGAACTCTTGCACTCCCAAACTGTGGGCCAACTTCCCAGGGCAGCACCCCCCAGGAGCTGGCAGGACTGCCATGCAGGGGGTTACCCTGGCAGGGGAGGGCTGTGCTAACGAGCTGTGCTAACGAGCTGTGCTGTGCAGTCCCCGTATCCAGCTGTCCTACCTGGGCACTGTGTGTAATGGCTTCTTTTTGCTGCACGCTCAGGTAGGACAGAGCGTCCGTGGGCTCGCGCTCGCAGGGGTCGTGCAGCCCCGGCCCTCCTGCCGGGACAGAGGCAAAGGATTACTGGCAGGAAGGGAGGCAAATGGAAACAGGGGCTGACAGGGGATGCTGAAGGCTGGGACTGGCTGCTGCAGAGCAGGGAGCACACCTTCTCCTGCAGGGAGTCACAGCTCATACAGAGCAAGCTGACCCCAAGGTTTTAATCCTTGCAGTAGTGACCACAGAACTTAGCAGGGTAACACTGCTCGTGTGTGATAACATGAAGTGAAAGCAGTAGGTTTAAATATAAAAAAACCCCAATAATTTGGAGAGCTACACAGTCTATTATTTATTTGTAACCTCTAATGAGATAGGGGTTAATTTATACACATTCCTTACGTCCCCCATTAACTTCTCCTGCAGTGGCAGTACTCACTCACACAGTGACCACCACGCAACCTCCCTTTTTTACTTTAATTTTACACCATTAATTTCACCCCACAGCAGGTTCAGAGTTCAAGGCAGGCATTTCTCATCTAATCCTTCAGCAAGAGCTACATTTAAGGCTGGCTGATCAACCCCTTGTGTTCCTGGAGTTCATTTGGCCCCTTACCGGGAAGCAGAATTCCAGATGCCAAACACTCCATGACTCGCCGCAACGCTTCCCCAGCGCCCAAAGGTCTATTACAAGTACCTATAGATTTTTCACATATAAGCTCGAGTGGCTAGAAGACATTAAATTATGATTAGTATGGACACAAGGGTAGCTGTGACTGCAGTTAAATATGGAGGGGCAGAGGGGAAGAACATTCACATCAGGTGACTCATTTTTAATCCACTACAGGTCTAAGGGACAGGCCCATCCCAGAGGAGGCCCCATCCTCGTTCATGGCACACGTCTTTGTCCCCTGCTCTGAGCTGCCTTCAGAGGACACCAACTGCTCTCCACTGCCTGCCCAGGAAGCTGAAAAGGAGGAGCCTCTCAAGCCAGGTCAGGTGAGTGTTCTCCACCTCTCCGTTTTCAGAGAGAAACACCTTCACCACTGACCTACAGAGTGTTCCTCTCTGGGCATGAGAGCAAACCTGCCCCTCTGAAAGGGTAAGAGCTGCTGGCAGGAATACGTCCCACTGTCATGGGAGCAGGGTTGTTTTGGAAAGCTAAGCAAGAGGGACTGAGGCAAGGAGTGGGATTCTCTTGCAAACTCTCAGGGCTGTGTGAGGCCCACAGCAGTTGTGTGTCCTGCCACGGCATCAGGACACGTGACAGACTGAAGGAATACTGTCCTTCTCTTCCCTGCACAGGGAGACAAGGGAAAGGGCTTTAAGGAGGAGTCTCAGAGAGGACACTGCTTTCTCCAGTCCAGACACTGCTCCAAGTCTCAGGAGATCTGAGACCTGACCCTGTGACCTTGAGCTCTTTCTGTACTTACCCAGCCTTTCAGTGGTGCCCATGTGGGGACTCTGTTGCACAAATCCCGCAGAATACGAAGGACAATTACACATGATTTTAGTCCATTTGCCCTGGCCTAAAACAAACAAAATGATTCCAATACACCTGCAAAAGCCTGGCCTTCAATTTTGCTTTTCTTTTTAAATGCACAGAGTCCTGGGATAGATTTTTTTTTTTTTAATTATTATTACTTAATAGTTAATCAGCTTCATGCAAAATAAAAACACTTATATAAAAGTACAAGACTTGAATTTAGAGAGAGACATATAAAAAAAAAAGGAAGCGAAATGTCAAGATTGCTTTTGTAGCCTCATGACAACTCTGCACCAGCTGGCTGTGTCCCTGCCACGTTTGCCCTCAGAATTCTACACCTTTGCTCTAGGAGGGGCTAGTCAGAAATTAAAGAGGCATTCAAATTAAAAGTGTCTCAAATTAAACCTCGCAAGGCTACAATAACAACAAGGTAAGAACAAAGAGCCAACCTGAAACCATTTGGCGTGCCGCAGAGACGCCAAGGCCTCCAGGCATTTCTGCCTGTCCAATAAGTCCGGAGGATCTTTCATCGCAACATTATCTACTGGTAAAAATGGGATAAAAAGAGACAGATACAATTTGACCAAGGGGTTTCTGTCACAGTACAAAAAGAGCGGCAGCATCTCAATGAGATAATAAGACTCCCAGAATTTTTAAGTGCACTGTGTTATTTAATTTAAACAAGCCATTAAAAGGTAGTCAATGTGCACGTGTGCAACAGAAGCAAAGGCATTCACTCCTTGTAAAATAATAGTAATAATAAAGGTGGCCACTGCTACAGACAATCTGGGATCTTATTAAAAATGTAGAACACATTTCAGGGCAGAAAATAGCTATATAGCACTTTTCCTTTTTTTTTTTTTTTTCTGTTGGGATGTACTGGGCTTTTTTTCTTCTTCTCTTCCTTCTTTGTGACTTTTATTCCACAAAGGTGGCACAGAATTTCAAAGCTTCTTTGGACAAGAGGAAGATATTCTCAGGGGGGTATAAAAAAATTGTAATAGAAAGTGAAGTTACATCCATGCAACTGTTGAGAATTCCAGAGAAAAACATTGAATATATTTGAAATAGTATTGCATGGACAGTACTAGCCAGTATAACTCAGTGAAAGAAATACATGGGAAATGCTAGTACCATATTGCAGTTTGATTAGTCTTTCATACAACCAGAGCGTATGAAAGAGAGAGGCTGGTAACTTCCACATCATCTTGTAAAAATCTGCCCAACAGCAACTGAAATCAAGAGAGGAAGTTCAAAGATGCATTTGAGAGACAAGACACTGGTATTTTCTGTGCAGGTTTACACTTTTTTCCCTTTTTTTCCCCTTTTATTCCCCCTTTCTCTTTTTTTCATCTGGTTTGCAACAAACTGCCTTTAGCAGTCACATCTGAGTCTGTGTTAAGGGACATTATGCATCAGTCCCTTCTTCCCTATTTATTTATTTTAATCCTGAGGAGTCCACAGCATTCAGATTCTCTGGAAACTCTTTTCCAAGAATATAATATATCCCTAGTATAATTGACACATTTTGCATATCTCTTCAATCAGATTACAAAGGTCACTAGTTTTAGCTGACATGAGAAGAACACACTGGAAGAACTAAATGAACCCATGACTCAACTAAAACCTTGAATATATTATTTTTCTATGAATACACCATTACTCTTGACTTAATAAAGATACTCTTTTCATTACTCATAATGGTCAATTCTCCAGGTCTTTAGAGACCTTTGCAGAACTGAATGAAATACAAAATCCATCTCAAATGGAAGACTCTGTTAGACAAGCAAAGTCCAGCAAGACACTTAAAATACCAGGACAAGGTAGGAGAAAAAAGTACCATCACTTTGTAGTAGAATTCATTAGTGAATCTCCAAGTACATTTTCATGGGTTACTTTGAACAGTATTGGCTGCATACAATTGCATCTTTAATGTAAAGCTGCCTCCCCTCCTATGCCCTTCCCCTGGTTAAAGCACTTTATGTCATGATGGAAAAAAGAGCCCAGAGCCAAAAAAAACCCCCCTGAGTGTAAAACTGAACAGAACCAGTATCTTGTCTGACAGGTGATGGTTGCAGTTCACAGCTGCTGGCTCAAGTGCTATAAGCTTATTTTCTAACCCCTGTGAACTTCGCAGCAGATATTTGCATTGTTTGTTATTGCCCTCATCAACAGCAGTCCAGGATTGGGATTAATCACTCCTCTTGTCTCCTTTCCAAATGAAGGCTGCAAAGTCTCAAAGCACTGGATTTCTTTGAGCACAAAAGGTCACTTTGGAATGCAAGATTTGTTTCTAAATTTCCTTTGCAGTTTTGTTCTTTCCAGGAGTGACGTTTTGTGGCACATGATTACTGAACATCCATCTGTGTAGTTCTGTGAGGAAACTTCACTGGGACAATATAAACATCTGCTTAAAGCTCAAGTATTGTATCAAACAAGTACTGTCAATGAATGATCAGAATCTTATTTTAAAACGTTAGAAATGGCAAAGGTGACTGACTGCAAAATGATTAATTTTTTGCAATGAACTGGGACTCTAAGTGCTGTACAAGGCTTTGGTAAAGTGTGTTGCAGCCATTGACAAAGTAATTTAATTTTTCCTTTAACTTAAAAACAAATAGAGTAAGTGTCATCTGTCATTCAGGTGAACCAAAAAAACCTAAGATTTGCTTCACCAAGTTAGAATCATACTCCTTTCTACAGGATTGAGGGCATTTCCCAAGGTCTAATTTACAAATATTTGGACAATTTTGCCAATTTCCAGTTCAGTCCCAGTGTCCTGATGTTGCAGTCAGCCAACTTTTGGGTGCAAGATTCTATTAAACAGAAAGATGAAGAGAACAGGCAGTGAGGAGGGCGAGCGGCTTGCAGCGGGCTCCCTTGGGACCCCTCGGGAGAATGGCATGTTTCTTCATGCTCTGCCAGTCAGGAAAGTGAGACCCAATCCAAATTTCAAATGGGAGTGCAAAGCTTTCCTTTTTCTCTTGTAGTTTTAGCAAGGGCAACGATCCAAGGGGTTTAATAAAGAGTAAGTGATAAAGCCCTGACGTTCGCTCCCACTGTTCAGTGCAGAACCAATCCCTCGGGAATTCTCTCCCCACTGCTGGACACATTCTCTTCACACAGGAGCTGCCAGCTCCATTCATCTGCAGCTGTACAAGGAGCCTTGCCTCCTCTGGATAGGGAAGGTCAGAGCCTGGGGCTTGTTGCCCTCCAGAGGCATTGGCCCCGTGGGAGCCCCACTGGCCACGTGTGCCCGGCCAAGGGCAGCAGAGGCAGACGGGCCGGGCAGTCCCGCTCCAGGAGCAACGGGATCTCAGCCCCGCTTTGGGAAACCAATTGTTTGTAATGACATCATTTGTTGGTACTGTGTGCTCAGTAACAACAACTGATTCGCAAGCTACCAGGTTCTGGTTTGGAAAGCCCAATTTATATTTAATGCTGTGACTAAAAACTCAGTTCCTTAAGGGGTTGAAAATTTAAACTGATGCAAAATGCAGGAAAATTTAGGTGCTTGACTTCTCAAGTCAACATGAGAAAGCAGAGCTTTATGGGTAGCTGTTTGTGAGAAACACCGAAATGCACACACACACTGGGCCGCTATTTATTTTTGCTAACAAGCAGCAAAAACAAATAGGACAAACACCACATCTTAAACATGAACACTTCTCCAAAGAGGTGGGGACTGAAGAGAAATCCAGGAATGTTTTTCGATACATTCTGACATCAGGGCATGAAGGCACACACAGCATTCCTACAGAACAGATGGGAGCACTGGGAGCGAGGGCCGGTGGCCTGACCTTGCCGTTGGTTAGAGGACAGATTAGTGCTAATCCCACCGCCCGAAACCTTGGTCAGTTCCCCGCAGGCTCCGCGCCCGGAGCCGGCTCCGTCTTACAGGGAAGATGAAAGGCAAGCTGAGCTGCAGTTTGAGCTCCTCCATTCCAACAATGCAGGGAGTAAACTATCAACTTTGTAAAACTGCACAGAAAGGGTATTTACATTTGGCTGCCGTCCTTCAGGGGTACTGGAAAAACATGGCACTGCTTTGCAGATCAAGGTGTTTCCACCAGTTCCTCCAGTTATTTTCCCTTAATATCAGACATGAAACTTTTGGTCTCAATCTAAGTGAAAGTTACCTAAATGTGGTTGGAAGTATTATGGAAAAAAGTATCCCCCGCCCTTTCAGTTTACTTGGTGCCATCTGCACAATTCTTCACACACCTTAGAAAGGAATGTGATAAAGGTTCCCTTGTGCTGAATCAGCATCAAGGAACCTGGGCTTTAAAACCAGATCCATGACCCTCTTCCCTGTCTCATCAGCTGTACAGGATGACACACAGCACCACTCCAAGAGAGGTGGCAAAACCAATTTAACAAAAAAATAGTAGGAAACTTTAAAAACTATTTTAATATACTGAAAACAAACTAGAACACCTACATATTAAGTATGAGAAAGCATAAAAATTCCAATCCCCTGTCAGTCTGAGATGAGTTCAGAAGTACCTGAACTTCACTGCCACAACAGCATCACTTTTTGCAAGAAAATATTTGGGCAGGATCCTTTGTGCAAAATTGTATCCCCTTGTGGGAACCTCACAAAACCTTCCCCATGAGAATTTGTTCTGCACTGGGTGCTCTCCCCTCAACATGGATCAGCTGCAGCAGCTCCAGGGCTGATCTCAGCATCTTGTGGGAAGTTGAACAACTAAAGCAACGTGTAGTTTATTTTTAATGGTCTTGTAAAGAGCGTGGTTACTAATTTGAGGATAAACAGCCAGTGCAATTAGGGGATCTTTGCCATTCATCTGTTCTGTAAGATTTTCTGCATTCAGCTGCTGCCAAAGTGTTCCATGTGGTTTGGAAGGGGATCCTTCCTGCCATCGCCTCCAGCAGAGTGAGGAGCAACTGACCAACATTTCCCGGCCCGCCGGGGTTTCAGTGGGAGAGGGAGGAAGCAAAGGACTCGTGGCAAGTCTAGAAATGGGAAGAGAGCGACAGGGAGTTCCCTAAGCCCACACGGGCCCAGCTGCCTCAGTTGTCATGACAGAGAGTGGCCAGTTGGTCAAAGGTCTGACATCATCCAGTGGCAAAGTTTCTAGGGATAGGTTTGGGAAGCGGAAGCAGAAATTACTGACAAGATTTTAAAAATACAACAGAGCGTGGCTACGTTTGCTCTTCTCTACTGCTCTGGGTTTGTTTCCAACCTCCCTGGTCCTACCAGTCAGCATTCCTGTCACACGGGCACGGAGCTGTGTCGGACATCACGCCGTGGGGGAGAAGGAATGGAAAGGACTAAGTGACAGTTTTCTAGATCTACTTCGCTCTAAGGACATGAGGTACAACGTTCAATTCAGAAGCAAAAGTGCTGTAGCACAGCACAGTAACTTCAATTGTATCCCAGTTAGGAAATTCCTAAAGCCAGAAACATACACATCATCAACCAATAAAAACTGAGGGCCAGGACGACACGCTGGCGAGCTTTGCAGGAGAAGGTTTTCACAGAAAAAGAGAAACATTTTTATGAGTTTTTCAAGAAACTACGAACCAATCCCACTTGACTGACTTAATTTGCAAACAAGACTGTGCAGCACCAGGTGCTCAAGAATTAAATAGCAAGTGTAAAGAAAGGAGAACTAAGATCTAATTGTACGTCAAAGTTAACACCGTAGGAAGATTGCTGGCAAATGAAAATTAGGTGTATTTACATGGAGATTAAGTGACTGGTGTCTATTTAAGGCACAGGTAACGTAACCCATGGTGGCGATGGCCACTCTAGTCAGTACTGGATGCACAATTAAAAGCCTGCTTCCCAATTTACCCCTGTGCTGCACAGTCAGGGCATTTAGCTAGAACAGTCTTAAACCCAAGTTAAAACGCTCTGTGTACCTCCTTCCTTCTTCTCTGCTTCATCTCGGATGAGAGGGGACGTGAGTATCACCTTCAAAGTGAGCTTGGGCTCCTTTGTGTTACGGATAACAATAGCTGCCTCATTTACATGCTCCTCCACCAGATACTTCTCTTCTGTAAGTTTCTGAAAGTCACCAACAAAGATTTCAAGAATCTCCCAGTCAGCTGAAAGGCTGCAGAATCTGTCTATGTGCCTCAGCTGGTGAGAAGCCCACAAGACACTGCAATAACAAATAAGGCCTTGCCCTCCTCATTCAAACCCTTTCAAACATTTCTTTTCTAGCCCATCCTGCCTTACCACTTGCACCATTAACGTGCCTTGTATCCCAGTTCTCTGCAGTGATCTCTCTGCAGGTCTCTGAGCAGTCCTCTGGGACTCTCTCAACCTCCAGAAGCACAAGGAGAGCCACAGATGGCTCCGAGTCCTGCAGCCATCCCTTCTGCATGCGAGTCTGGCTCACAGACCACAGGGGCAGAACATATATCTGATGTCTGTCCGACTCCTTCCCCTGCTGCATCTGCTCTCCTGCAGCTCCTTTATTGTGGGGAGGAAAATGGCTGAGCATCTGCTCAGGATAAGCCTTCAAAGCAGCAAAGCAGAAGCTGCTGACGTCTCTGTACTGCACTTGCTCCTTTTGTCCACTAATGGGCCTAAACCCTCCTTCCCCTCTGGCACCTGAGCCCTCTGCACAACCTCTCCTGTCCTCCATGCCCAGACAGTTGGAGTGTTTCATGAGTCAGAGCCTCATCTTTGCTGTGATCCCCACCATAATTCCCCCCAGGATCTTACCTGCTTGTCCCTTGAATTTATTCAGCCTTCACATCTTTTAATTACATCTACTCTCCCATTTCATCTCACTTTTTTTGAAGCACATACTAACTTTTCTTCTCACTTTCAACCCTCCTCATTTCATGCCTCACTACAAACAAAATTTACTCTTTAGTACTCAGTACATCCCTATCATTTTCCAAAAAGTAAAATGAACTCTTTACTCCTCAAAAGATCCTTTGCATTTTCAGCTGTGGATAGGGCCACATCTGCGGGTACAACATTAGCTCATTAAAACAAGCCCTTTGTGTGAGCAAATAAATGGTGAGAACAGCTGTCAAGAATGGTAAAACACAGGGAGAAAAGCAGATCAGGAGAAAAGCAGGTCGAGTTTGGTCGTGGTTTGGAGAGGGGCACCTGCACTGCAATACCTGGGCAGCTCCTTGGCACCAGTGTTTGTCAGTCTGGAAGCTGAACTGATTCCTCAGCCTCGGAACTCAGGCACAAAGGTGGTCTCCCTAAACAAGCTGTGAGTGCTGCCTGCTGCATGCCAACATCAGAATTAAACAGCCAGGAATAAAGTGAATGTGAGCTCCTGATCAACACAGCCAAAGTGAGCGACCACCTAAAGTGACACCTTCTCCCTTCAGCACCACAGAGGGGATTCTGTGGGAACAGCCCAAGCCAAGCAGCTCCAGTGGGGAAATGCAGGCTCAGGCAGGAGATGGGACAGCAGCAGGGACTGAGGGACACCCTGGAGCAGGGGAGGTTCTGGGACTGCAGTTCAGCTCACACTGGCTGGCCCAGAGAGCCCAAACGTGCTGGGTTCGTTCCACACACGAAGGTCACTGCCCTCAGGGAGCTGCCTGCACACACAGGAGGAGGCAACAGCAGCAGGAAGATGTTCCATTTTGTGAGCAAGTACCTCATGGCTCCACATTAAACATCTCACACGCCCCAGATTTCGTCCTAGATTCAAACTATATTCCTTTATATCACTTGTCTTTCTTCCTGGAACAAATTGCAGCCTTTCCCCAAATACCCTTGGCAGTGCTACCAGCCACTGTTCAGGACTGCCCCAGATTAACTCACCTGAATTTGAGCTGGGAGATTGTCTTTAACGATACATAACAAGGTCTTTGTGGGTTTTTCTTTGCACATAAGAACCAGCTCCAGATCCATATCATCTTTTATCAGCAAGCCCTTTGCAACCAAGCCAATTCTCATCACACCACAGAGAGTCCGACCACCTTGATCCCTGGAAATGAAACAATTTGAGCTAATTACAATGGCATTTTAATCTCCAGATGTAGTTTAGGGGAACCTTTAAGAGCCACAGTAAAGAACTTTCAAAGCAATGTAAAGACACTTTAGTTTTGAGTACTGAAAGACTGCAACAAAAGCCAGTTTTGCAGACTGGTTGCTTAAAAATATGAAGAGAAATGCTCTTGTCTCATCCGGTTGTCTGCAAAGCGTTTACTGCAGGTTTGGATTACTTTTAAAAAAAAAAAAAAAAATCACTGTTGGTGTGGGGCTGAGCTGCTGGCTGGGACTAAACCACAACAGTACTGGAAGGTAATGGAGCCTTTGTTGGATTGCTGGATTATAAAAGGGTTTTTTGTGTATTAAACTGCACAAGCCCCCAAGCAACGTGGCTGTGGATTTGCAGTGCTGTGTTACAGGGACATATATTTGCTTCAAACTGCTGAGAGCTTTGTCTGCTAAATGCAACTTCACAACACCCAGTAAAATAAACAAAGACCCGGAGAGCAACTGCTGCCCACGCTGGGCTCACTGCCATTCCCTGCTCCCACCCCAGAAAGTCCAAATATATCCCCTTCCTTCTCTGAACATTCCCATGCAGCAGAACCAAGGGACACAGGGACTCTTATCTGGGAGAAAGGACCAGCTGAGAGCAGCACAGGGACACTGGGAGGGGAGGGGGAGGCTCACTTGGCAGTGCCTTCCACGGCTTCCTCCTTGGCTTCCGCATCACCCTCACACTTGGTAGACTTGTTCTTCTCATCCATCCAGTCAGAGACATGCTTAAGGGCACATTCTACTGTGGATACCATGTTCTGGACAGCTTCAAGTTCCTCTGGAGATGGATAAATGGTCGAGTGTTTCACCATTACGTGGCGGTCATCGTTAGCAAACGATCGGATCGATCTCTGTGTGGAGTGGGAAATGGGAGGAAAAGAAAGCAAAGGTGCTGGATTATCAACAGGACTGCCTGAATGGGAATCCTCCCTGGCAGGAGGAGTAATGTCTCTTAGGATAACCACTGTTTGTAATCATGCAGAAGCTATTTCTTTAAATAAACTTTAAAAAGAAAAAAGCAAACACCAGTACAAAAAATATCAGTATTAAACCAGTAAAACTTACTTTCATTGTTCTTCTCACTTCTCCCTGCCCTCTCCCACCAAGATTCTCTTGGAGAAGGGGGCATGGTCTGGCTGGCTGAGTTTAACAGAGTGCTGAAGCAGGAGAACACAAAACCCCTGGTTCCATTCCCAGTTTCATTAAATGTCTCTGACTTCCCTCTCCTTTGACTTGCTTGGTTATTTACATTAACCTTTCAAAGTCAGTGAGAAATCACTTGGACTCTGCTCTTGCTGAAGGACCTACATCTCATGGAGATACAAACTGTGAGCAGGAGCACTGAGAGAAAGGGGGGCTGCCCTACCTTGGGATACTTGCAGGAATTCAGGTGTCCCTGAATTTCAGCAATCTTTGTTGCCTGTGCCAGCCTTCAGCAGCTGGATAGCTCAGAGCACAGGGGAGAGCCAGGGTCCTGATGCCAAACAGCAACCTCACCTCAGGGCAGGGAATTCAGCACATGAGCATGCCAGGGAGGGAGCAGACTGGGCAAAGCATGTGGAAAGGAAGGCAGGCAGGGATTGAAGATTCCTGTTTTGTAAAAGGTGTTAATACTTTCTAAATGAAATATTTGCCTATTCTGGATGTGCTGAGTGCAGCCACCCATCCTCTCTTTATGCCAGGGACAACAGCAACACACCTTGGAACAGGCAGTCAGAGCGCCAGTCCCTCACTGCTGCTGCTGCAGATGGAGTCACAGCAATGCAGATGCTACAAGAGGCTCAGCAACTGCACAGGGATTTACAAAGCCATGAGTGAAGATGAGGATAAACTGGTAAGAGGAGACTGAAATAACTTCTTTTTAAAGTTTCAAATGAATACAGAGATGAGAGTGCTAATTAAAAAAGTGATACTGCTGAGGAAGTTGAACCTCAGTGGCTGGGTAACCCGTGCTAGGAAGCTTTTGCTTTGCCACAACACTCTCCAGGTGAGACTCTTGTGATCTGAGTGGTGCCCCAGCCCAGCTGTGATCACAGCACACACCTCTGGCAAGAGTAGCAATAAGTCTTGCTCTCTACAGACACATCAATCACTGCTGAAAGCCTCCTGAAAGCCTCCCAGACCTGGGAACCACCAGCCAAGAACCTTTGTTCCTCCTACACATTAAGCAGCTTAATTAGGTTTCATATTCACCCCAACTCCATGGGTTTTAGCTGTACACATTGCTAATAACACAAAGGGCCTTTAAAGGACCTCAGAGGCCTCTGGGCTGGATCCCTCTTAAGGCACTGTCCATGTTCTCCTGGTTTATTCCACTCACTGAGTCCCTTCCACTGAAGGCCACTGTGACACCATCCCTACTCCCGTGCTCCTGCCCAGACGGATAACTTGGGCAGTAACAGCAGCACATCCATCAGGAGCTGGTGTTATCCCCTGTTCTTTGGAAGGCTGCAAAATGCTTCCAGGAGGTCCCTCTTGTGGTTATCCATAACATGGATACAGCAGGAGCTGCAGGGAAAATGTTGAGCTGCATTTAACAACTCACCCCACCATGTCTGATCTCATGAAGTATCAATTAGGAAGGACAGGAAAACAGGAACAAATACGAAACTCCTAAGTTACAAGACACGTGTTTTCCTTTCTGATGAAGAGGCTCTGACAATATCAATTCCTCATTACAGTTAAGGCCAAAAAGAATGACAAACTGGGACACTATTTAAAATAGAGTCTATTGACAACTCTGCTTTGCCAAGTGTCCTTCCTCCCTTTGTGCTCTGTAACTGGTAAAAGTCTTAGTTTAGGCCCTTTTTTTAACACAATATAAACATGCAGCCTATCAGCAGCAACCAGCTACACAACTATTAGTGACAGTATTTAAAATTTATTCTCATTTCCATTCAGTAATAACCTTAGAGGGGTTAAAAATACATAAATATGCTTCAAGTGCTCTTCCCAGGCAATTTTAAGGAACTGAGTAGGTCTGTTGCCTTTTTGTGAACACATTTTCAGCATCTTGCCATCACAGCACTCCATACTTGCACACCTTTACAAATTCACATCTCAGGCATTCCCAATGTGGAGCCAATCCCAGGCAGATGAGAGGTGACTCCTCACTTGAACAACATACCCCAGGTATATCTGAACACGTTTCATCTGCACAGAGCCACGCTCAGTCACTCGCAGGTATGAATAACAATGCTTTTGTGAGAGGAGGTGGAAGGGGGACGTCAGCATTTGGTGATGCAATCTGCCAGTTCAAGGTCACTGATGCTGTTTGCTACAGCCTGCTAATGCCAGTTTTATTAGAAAACCTTACGAGCATCCCCTTGGTTCGTATTTAATAATTCATGTACTGCAGGCTCACAAGACAACTCTCTGGTTTTAAGAGGCTGACAATACATCAAACCTCACTTGCTTTGCTCCAAGCACGCAGCACCAGCCCTCAGTTAGTGCAAGGTCAGAAAATCCCCTTCCTGGGGGTTGGTCAAGCCCCATGCAAGACTGGCAGCAGAGAACACTTTCAGTGCAGCCCCGTGAAAGACAACAAATACCTACCATGGTTTGTTAGTGTTTCAGCTCTCTCTCCCTCCCTTTCTCCTTTTCCCTCCTCCTTGGTGTCTTTGCTAAGCACTGTTTTGCCTGACAGAACCTCTTCATAAGCCTCTCAGTCCCTTGACAGCTCAAGAGTTCATAGAGCCGAGATTCTCCGGGAGTCACTTTGTCTAATTCACCTGCAAAGAGAGAGAAACAGCTTGAAAGCAGCAGCAAGGGCATGAGGAGTCCAGAAGGGCTCAGTGCAGCACACCGAGCCCAGCAGTGCTCAGAGCAGCCTCTGAGCCAGTCACTGCCCAAGCAGCAGCAGTCCCTGGGGAAAGCAACCTGCTGTGATGGGCCCACAGGTACCAAGGACTGTCCCGTGCCACAGCTGACCTCGGGGAGCTCTGTCAGCCACTGGCAACCCCAGTTCCTGGGATGAGGAGGCAGGAAATCCAGCACTGCAAACATGCTCCATGTGAAGCCAGCTCAAGAAGTCTCTATTTTTATGTCCCATGCACGTTGGCAATCAAACACACCATATTTAATTATCCAAAAGTAATTATCTATTGAAATCCCCAGTGCAGCCCTCGACCCTGTGTCAGATGCTGCACAACAAGAACCAAGGCTTCAGGTGGCAATAACTGCAAGTTGTTATTTAAAGAAAGACAAGCACATTCTCCCAAACTGCAGACGTCAGACCTGCGAGCAGCTGAGCTGAAATCACCCACACCGCCTGTGCTGCCCCTACACTGCCTCTCCCAGCACTCAGCACGGAAAAGATCCTGGGAGAGCAGCCTTCTGGGACTAAACTGGGAAACAACCTCCAGCACTGGCAGCAGAAAACTGCAAATAAATGCTCTGTGAGGGAGTAGAGCAGAAAAACAGAGCAGGTAATGTGAGAGGAAAGCATAAGCTCACTGCACAGCAAGACACTCCAGTCCTTGCAGAAAATTCCTGTTTTCCTTTCACTGCACATACTGTTGCATCAGCTCTCCAGCAACGTTCTGAAGCAATTGGAAACCCAGTCAGTAAATTTGTGCAGCCTGACACACGCACTCAAACGTTCTCCTGTCCTCCTAGATGCCGACCCCCCTTCACCAGCAAGATGTTGCATATTGTGTGTCAGAGAATCCTGACATTGTTAGAGATTAAAAGCATGTTTGGCAACAGCAGAGGGGTAGGTGAGATGACTTGAAAGCTGAGGAGATGCTTAGACTGTGGTGTGACAGGGAATAATTAAAATGTTGCATCCTGTAGAGATTTGAGCTTAACAGGGGAAAAGGCAGCAACAAATCCTACTTTCCTATTTCCCTAGTTCAGAAGAAATTAAGGACCAGCAAGTGCCAGGTAGTTGTTTGTATTGCACACCCCTGAATTCAGGGTGCAGAATTGGGTAAACCAAAAAGCAGCCAGACAAGAACACTGTGCAGAGAGCTGCCTGCTCCAGCAGCTGCACTGCCAAGGAAGAAACCCCAAGAGAGTGAAGTGCAGTCTTACTAAAAATACTTGGGAAAAGCAAGCTAATGAAAACCCTGACTGCCCCCACTTCTCATCACAGAGCTCTGTACCCACCAAGGTGTTTTAACACTCTACCAAATTGCTTCCCAGAAGCAATCACGGAAGGGGATGTTCTTTCACAGGACCAGCCTCTTCTCTTAAGAGATCCTGAAAGCCAGGCAGGGGCAGCTGGGAGGGAAAAGCAGCAAAGATCAGTGCTTTGGCACTGTTTGTTCTGTGAGCTAGTCAAGCTTCTCCACACTCCACAGCCTTTCCCCATCTCCACAACCAACCAGACTCTTTACAGGGTCTTTTTGTTTTGCATAACAATAATAACAATAACAATAATAACAGTTTGAGTCAGCAGATGGAATACTAGAGAGACTTCTGTGAGACATGTTTCTAGATCATCTATTTCAAATGATTCTCTCTCCAAACTCAGCTCCAGCTATCTTCACCTCCTCTTCCTCCCTTCCACACCCACACTTCACATTTTGGGTGGGTGGCCGTACCTGGGCCGTTGCAGGCAGAGAGCAGGGCCCTGGGATGAGGTGCTGACTGCAGCAGTGGCTGAGGGAGCAGCACCAGCCTGGCCTCCTCCCCACACTCCTGCGAGCTGTTGCTTATCAGCTCGCACAGGGCACTGCAAGCAGATGGGCAGAGAGCTGGCTGGGCAAATTCTGGGCCTCAGTAAATGCTGAGCAGGCTGTTGTCCAGAGGGCAAGTCTGCAAGAGACACCACGAGCTCTGGAAACAGGCACTCCTCAGGGGGCAGATCGGGACGTGCCCAGTGCTTGTCAGGGTTGGAAAATCCAGAACAGACCAAAAATAAGTGTTTCACAGCTAGGATGGGGGTTAATCTGCTGCTGCACTGATGCAGCACACACACCACCACCTCTCCATACCCTGCCTTAAGCAGGCAGGAACATGCTGTCTTGTTTTCAAGACAGGTGCAGTTTTCAGTGACAAGTAGAAGTTGCTGGATGAAGGTATTTACGAGTTTGGTTTCACCTGCCCTTTTTCTCAGCAGGGCATGGCTGAGGTCAGGGAACAGACAGCTGAACTACAAAGGGATCCTTATTATCAAATTCAGAAAGCTGGAAAAAACCCTCTGAAAGTTGAGTTGAAGCTGATATGTCTTCCCAGTCATTAACATCCTACGAATATTTCAGAAACACGCACAGGAGCGAAACCCTAATTTAGTTCAGACTTTGAGAGAACATGTTCAACAAAAGCACTAAACAGGAGGGAGTTTACTATAAAAGTGTAGACACAATATACAGAACAAAGTACATCTGACAGCATGCAGAATTAAATTAAGGAAAACCAAAATCAAATCTGCTCCAACCATATGGACTAAGGCAGCACAACATAGCTCAGCACCAAATACATCAGAAAGCATTATGTGAAGTGAGCAGCAATTCCATAAATCCAACAGCCTTATTCCACTACCAGCCTACAGCAGGATATTTGATCCTGCATCCTCAGGAAGTTACAGCTGATGCCCAGTCCCAAAAGCACAGCGTTAAACGTGGCTGTCTTACCCAGGGGCTGCCACCACACTTGCAAGGAAACTTCTACCCAAAGCTCCAACCCAGCCCTCGGTGACCTTGAAAAAGTCCCTTTTCCTCTGCATCATGTGGCCCTGAAGTGTAAAACAAGAGTAAACAGTGGCTGTCTCCAAACCAGGTCACGGCGGAGCCGAGCGGAGTCTGCAGCGAGGTTTAAAATCACTGGGGATTTGACACATTAGAAATGTTATTAAAACACCATGACAGTGTAGCAACAGTTCCATTAAACATCCCATCCTTCACAGAGGAAGTTTATGCTTTGGCACAAGACAAACGAAAAGAATTTCAGATGAGGCTTTTGTAGTAGGAGATATTCCTGCATCTGCATTCCCCAGGGACAGGCAGTTAAACAGCCAGGGGTGATGAATATGCTCAGCTGCCTGGGAGTGCCTGTGAACAGAGTGAAAAGGCAGGAGAAACAGGTACTGGCACTCCATGGGGACTGAAATACCAGAGTCAGGGAGCATGAGCTTCTGGAAAGGAGACATGAACTGTGTTTGGCATCCCAGTATCCCCCTGGAGCAGCACCTTGCATGGAAGGGTTCCTGGGCCAGTAGAGAAGAGGGAATTGGGGTCACTGGACACCAGTGCTCCAAACCCTCCCTTCAGTCAGCTGCTGTTCAGGCTTCTGGCCAGGCCAAGTAGAACACCATGAAAATTGTTTTTTAATGCTCCATCAAGAAGGCACATGCTAACAATGTCCAGCTGAAGCATTAAAAACACCCTCCACCCTCCTAATCTACCCTGACACCAGTATCTGCCCAGTTTGCAGTGTGCACCACCCCAAGAGCAGGCAGAGCTTGTATTAACAGAGCAGCAAGGTTGCTAATCACAAACCAGTGAGTATCTAACACAGCCCGAGGTGCATCGGACACGGTAACAGAAAAAACTGGAATTTAGATCCTTTTTCGTGACCTTCAAAAGTCAGAACGAGAGGCTTGCAACTTCAAATTGGAAGTTTATTTTAGCCTCTGCTTTGCATTCAGGGGACAGGTAATTTTTCGTCACACCACACAAAGTGCTGCTGAAAATATGTTGTGTTTTTTCTGCAGTATAATTTTATTGCTGGCCTTCTGCCAAGAGTCTTTCTGGCAGCATCTCCCACAGTTGGAAACTGTGTATCTGGGTCAGAAAAGACAAGCGGCTTTTCAGAACAGCTCAATACATTTGGCAGAGATGCTGATATTGTAATTGAACTCTTTCAGCAACTCTCTTTATGATGTACCCAGACACCAAACAAAACAAGATCTGCAGTGTTGATTAATGTCAAAATAACTGACAGAGGAATATCAAAATAGTTTTCCCTCATGTTAAAAGTATCAACAAACCGAGGGGAACAGATAAGAAATACAATTCATGAGGATTCAGAGAGGAGCACAGGGCAGAGAAATCTGCAAAGCACGGCCGAGCTGCTCCCTGTGCAGATATTCCCCAGCTAAAATCCCAGCTCCCTGTACCCTGCACAGAACTCCTCCTTCCCCACCACAGCACGAGAGATCCTGGCCACTGTCAGCCCCAGCAGCACTGGAAAGATTGCTGCCCTAACCCTGGGATCCATGTTTAATAAGGCTCAGACTGCTTCCAACAATGTGCTCAGCGTCCCATTTCACCTGCAGACTGAGTATCCAGAGGAGTTTCATTATTTTCCATGTAATGCATTTCCTGGCAAAGTTGCATCTGGGTTAGCCTTCAGAAGGCTGGAATTTTCCAGCCAAATGAATAATTACAAAGCAACACTACAGTTAAAAGCTGGAAAGGTACTTCCTCTGGTGAACTCTTACACTTCATGCAACAAACACTCGAGGCTGGGATCACTCCTGCCTGCTCAGTCCCCACGACGTCTCCAGGAAAGGCTCCTGTGCTCGGGGATCTCTTGGAGCAGCCTCTGCCAGGCAGCCCCAACAGCCAGCTTTGAGTGCCAAGGACAGGGCCTGATAACCAGATCTGGAACCACCAGCACTGAGGAACCAAAGTCACCTTCCAGGATGCAGAGCTCTGACAGCTTAGACAGCAGCAGGGAGGGAAGCAGCTGCCCACCTGTCAGCGTGGAGCGAGGGACTGGAGAGCCCCTGGAGAGAATCCAGCTGTGCCAAGGCACAGGCAGAGAACTGGGGGACCCCAGGGCA